TTGGTTACTATTGGTCATAGTTAGAACGAATGACCGAGTCGCTGGTAGAAAATGTCACCAGCTCTAACGTGAGGAAACGAAAAACACAGTCATTATATTATTATATTATAGGTTCTAACATATTATATCATGTAATAACGCTTAATTAAAAATAAAATAAAAGCTCGTAATTATAAATTTAATGTATAAAAATCACTAATTCTTTAATTAAAATATACTGATTTATATATTTATTTGTTGTATAGAGACAAGAAATCTTTCTTAAATGATTTTCTTTATAAACTAATTTGGAAGCAAGCGCCATTGTTATAACATCCTATCCGAAGGAAGTATTGTAGGCTCATATAGGCCTATTTTTTTATACACTCTTCATATATTTTCTTTACAAAAGAATCACTTCTGTTGAATTAAAATAAGAAAATATATTATAAATCACCGAGAATATTAATTTATAAATTGATAGCGACGAGAAAAAAATGAGAAAAAATCCATAGCGTTACGAGTTCATCAATGATTACGGATGAACCCCGACTGTGACAACAAATTGACCACCGGACAGCAAACACTTAAACATCGGTGTTCGTGTCAGTGGAACACATTATTACTATGGTGATAGATGTGTCGGCGTTCGATGTTACAACAGTCTTCCGACAATGGAACCCGGGAGGTCCTCGAACTTCGACATGGACAAAGTACTGCTTGTGTATTGCTAGATGACAGTAGCCTCCTATGTCACTTGTCGGGTCTTTTGTGTTGTAACATCACTAGAACCGCTTCTTGTTTCTTTATTGTTATAACAAAACCAATCTAATGAACTCCAACAAACTTTTACACAAACATTTTGATAACTTTTAACGTTTTCTTTGATGATTTTCTTACACAAATTATATATCTCTATCAATTTTCTTAATTGCGGTATTTAAGTCAAACAAATAGCCTATAATTTATATGTATTTAAATATTATTATGTGAATATTGAATGTAGAAGAATATATTTTTTAAAGTACATTTTATGGTTCTAACACTTTATAATCGTAGTGTTTAAATTTAATTAATATGTGGAAATGAGCTCTGAGTGCATATAAATGGGTTAGGAATGTTAGCAAATGTGCACCTACAGCTTCACTTCCTCCACTTTCTATCATAGATTTTGATATAGAGACGTTGAGGAAACATGGAAGATAATTGCTAGAATGTGAATAATTTCTCCATCCTATGACACGGAATATTGTTGGAAATAGAATTATAAACAAGTGTATCTTATAATTTCTGAGAAATGAAAATGAAAGACGATTGATACAATGCTAAATTGCAGCTATACATCAAGACGTTTGGTGTTGAAGTGTACTTAATCGATCTCACCCTACCAACTAATTAATGAAGTTAACATCCTGCTGGGAGGCACGCCTGCGGGAATACAGATTACACACCTAACAAAGTTACACTGTACGTGAGTAGTATTTGACAATGTACTGTACCTCGCTTAAAACGTTTGACTAAACGCAGATTTCCTGCGATATGTCAGTTGAGTAAACATTATCTCAATCTGAAGTGTATTTGAAATTTATATCATAATCTGAAACAATTCATCCGAAGTCTGTAACGAAAATTTACAAATATCTAAATTTCTTAGTACTTAAAAGCATTTCCGGATAGGTAGGGCCTATGGCTAGAGGCAGGTTATTTGTTAGTTTTTGATAGTTTTCCTGAATCGTAGGTTACTGGGGTTTCATTAAAGAGAGATGAGAAGGAAGCTTGAAATGATTCCTCACTTCGTTACATCAGCTAGGAAACTCACCGGGGTGTCAGTATCCATATTGACCTTCTATTTAATGTTCTCTTCTCCCCACTATCTTACTGTAATATATCACCTGTGCCCAAAGACCGCAGGGTACTTCCGGTGTGGGATGTTCCGATCGGGAGGGGGCGGCTGCACGCCCCGGGGTGAGAGGGAAGGGTCAAAACTACGATTTTCATGGCCGATATATTACATCGAGGGATGTACCAGATTCGCTTTAATTACGTGAAGTATAATGTTTAAAAATTATTAATGCCAAAGACCCCCGTTTCTTCTTTACCGTATTTTCTCTACAGATGGGATATTGTTTTATTAGTAAACTTAAGTAAACTAATCGAAATTAAGGATTATGTTGCTTCAGAATGATTATTTAATGATTGATACAATATTAATATATGTCTCGTATGATTTTCGTCACCCCAAATATAGGTGTATAGGCGTTTTCAATATTCTGTATTATGATAGATAGTTCATCTGATAGTTCTCATTTCTTCTCTTTGGCTTCTCGCAACGCATCTAGTGGTTGCTACAGGGCGTGGCCATAGGAGATATTTCATGATAAATTGTGTCCTGATGCAGTGTGACGGAGATAGTTGCATTGTTGTAGTGGGTGCAGCAGGACCTCTCGATGTTCTTAGGGGCCTCGGGAGGTCTCTTTCGATAGTCTGCCCTGTCGAGTCCACTCGGCTGACCCTGGGTCACTGCCACGTTGTCTAGCTTGCGGCCACTGTCACCAACCCTGTAATTTTGGGGCCCGGTTCCATTGTTGGCATCCAGCACATCCTAATGGACTTTGGCTCCGGGTCCAGCGTACTCGGTTCGGTGATGGTGACCGCTGTTTAGAGAGCTACAAGAGAAATAACCGTAGAAACGGGTCTTAGACGTGTGGCAGTGATATATGAGACGATAGAGATGAAACGGGACCCCGTGATTTTACTATGCAACCATTTTGGGATGCCAAACTAATGATAGACTTTAAGACTAAAGTGACTGTCCAGCGGGATGTCAGTCTCCTATTTTATGTGGGATGTCGTGAATTCAAGGTTGTTCCATTTTTCATTTTCAGACAGTAATAATGCACTCCAACTGTATAAAAGCTTTACATTCGGCCATAAGTTAAATCAAACTTAATCGCTATAGGAACATAAAAATCATATTTTAAATAATATTATACTTAAATTATGTAATTTTATCGTTTCAAAGGAGATTTAATTCGTATAAATTGTTAAAGAACCATCGTTTTTAAATATAAGAGGATTAAGAGACTCATTAGATTTATATTCATTTTAAAATTCTCGAATACTGTGTTTTTCTCTTTCGCACGCACTGCATAAAGTCAATATTGCGTAATTATAGAGATATAAGAACTTTAGTAAGTGCTCATAGTCATAAAAACACCCAAATAACATAAGAGACCCGTCAGCTGACAAACGCCTCGTTCAAATGAGACCAGGTTATGAAGTGTTAGATGGGCCTCTGTTAAGGTTGACCATGATTTTTGAGAGGGAGGAAGAGAAAAAAGGGAGGGATTAAGTTGGGTGTGATGGGCCCCTCTTCACACCCGTCGGCAGTCACGGACAACAGACAAGTCAGCCTTTAGAAAGGCCGCTGCTTTTCCTGAGGCCTTCCCTTTTGTTTTATAGACCCGGTGCCACCCCTGCTCTCGCTGTTCCGGGGACTGTCCTCTTATCGGAAAAGTGATCGGTGGGATGCACCTTGTCACGACTTCCGAACCCCCTACAAATGGACTGTCACGATATTGCAGTCGCCAGTTCTCATTATACAGCAGTACAGGTGCATGAATGACCTCTGATCCATCGTGTAAAATCTCCTTATCCAATAGAATATTCCCGACGCTATTTGTCATGTTATCACGCGTGACGATGAACGTGAGCTATAGAATGTCACGAATGTATTTGAGGTCATACAGAAAATTAGGCAATAGTTTACACAGATACCTTTTGTCAGACTAATTATTCTCTGGCATTTCAGGTACAATAGGTTACAAATGCTTTATATCATAAATAAAAACTAGCGAGTTTCTATTTAATCACGGAATTTAAACAAATATTGGATATGGCGATAAAAAAAATTCCCATTCATCTTTTTTTAAACCGATTTTAACGTGCAACTCTCTATCTTCCAACGTTATAAAAATTTAAATAATTTTAATAAATACAAATCGTCCTCAATAAATTTTATAAAAACAGGTTACATTTTTACACAATTTAATTTATTATTTTTAAAGATTTAACAGTTTTCTCTGCTTTGAAAAATCATGTTTTAGTATACAAATTGATATAGGCCTATAAAGAAAGTATTTATTGTACTTATTCTACTTAAAAAGTGAATAAAATAAAGAATTCTTATAAAAAGAACATTTTAAAAATTAAGTTTTCTAAATAAAACACGCAGAATTCGTAAAACGAAGCAGAAAAAAAATTTACTTAAGTCGACTTTGTTTAATCCTATTTATTTAAGTTATTTAATGATGTTTCTATTTATAGTTTATAAAATAAAATTTTTTTGTGTGTGTGTATTAAATGGTCGATTTTCAAATATGTCCTTTCACTCTGTAACATCTCTGGAAGTTGTTTCATTTTCAATTCTATATTAATAAATAACAAAGAGATTGTTTGTTCTTCTCTACCTTAACTTGTTGACATATGTCTAAGCGCAAACCTGAGTAAAGTCAGTTGTTTTTGAGGTACAGTCGACTTTTGTCTTTAGTTATCCAATGTCCAGAAGCGAATGGCGTCGGACAATGGACAATCAGTTGTAACAACGTCCATCGATCTACATCAAGTCGTTTAACCATCTCTAGGAAGCTATTATTAGAACTGGTAGAACCACGTTTTTCCCAATTGCTTAATTACTATGTATTCCCTTCCAGGACCTCCCATCTGGGTACAGGGATTTTCTTTTTAGCTGTCTGCACCCTATCTTTAACTATTGGGTCAGTTCGTAGTTGTCACTCTAACTCTGTATTTAACATCACTATTGTTTCTCTTATTCAACTCGTAAAGTAATATTTGTTGAAATGTTGGAATCTTTGATGGATCTGAGAAACCAGAATTTTGCATCTTTTAAAGGGCGATTACCCGTGGAGCTATTGTATTCAATGTTTAATTTTGATAAATATTAAGTTGTTTTTTTTTTTTTATATTTCAGTAGATAAATATATGTTTCTCTTTCATTTCAGCCCTGGATAAACTCGGTTTTCGTCATCTTTATAATTGTCATCAGGTAGAGTTAGTGCAACCTAGTATTGCCTTCGACATTGCCTCTCTCATGCTTTATGGAACACAAGCTATCCCTATAAGGTTAAAAATTCTTCTGGATAGACTGTTTAGTGTATTGCAGCATGAAGAAGTGTTGCAAGTATTACACGGCTTTGGTTGGACGTATGAAGATTATGCTCGAGGTTACATATTACAGGTAAGTTGGGTGTATCATTTAATATTAACTGTAGGAAAAACAGGTTATTTATATAAAGTTGTAAATAAAAAAAAATATGATAGATTTGCCACTCACTTTTCTTATTATCTCAATCTAAAAAGTATATCCTTATTCTTATTCTTCTTTTTTTAATTTATTTACATTATAGATTCTAATTTATTCATTGGTTTATTCGGCATTTATTATAGAATCACCTATATAAAACGAGATTGATCTGATAAAGTGGGCTATATCCATTATCTATTTAAACATAACGGGTTTCTATGATAACTAATGCAGTATCATCAATATTTGAATTAATATTTTCAATATAATAACGGCTTATTCATAGCTGTTTATAATTTTGCTTGAGGCTACAACCCATCTTACATAAACAGAATCCGAGGGATAAACTATGAACTTAAAATATCAAATTTTAATTGAAGTCTGCAACGTAGTGTCTTCAGATGAAAGGATAAAGACGTCCCTTTAATTACATTATAATTAAATACTGCCAAGACTTTCATTTTCACAATTATCTTAATTGTTTCTGCACTGAAAGTACACTATGGAATTTAGTTGACGTTTATCGGATTGTGTTCAGTCTAAACCATAGAGACTCACAATTTGCAGCCCAGACTAATTTCTTTATCTCGTGTACTTATTTAAGAATAGATTTTCTAGCTTCTGTTCACTGTAAATGTCTACAGCATCCTTCCTTTCACTTGGTGCAACTGTTCTTTGGAGAGTTTCTACTTTGCCATAATTATATTAACAGAAAATAACAAGTACCGAAGTCAGTTTATGAGACAGCATTAAGAAGGATAAGCAATTAATCTACAGAAAAAGGAAAACTTTCAACTATATTTTGGAGAGAGAGCAAACTCTTAATTAACAATTTCTATACGTTTCTTCCTAAAATTGCTTAACATAAATGAAAGAATTCGGGACAAAAAAAAATATTTTGTATTCTCTTCGAAGCTGTTTAAATAGGCTAATTTTATTGTTTTGTGCCATTTTCCTATAATATTTTTGTAGTTTTCTTGTAAGAATAAGCTGTAAAAATATAAATTTGACTTCTTATGTAAGTCGAAAACTAACTTTAATTAAGTTATTTTCAAGCAACCTAAATTTTCTACAGGGTATAAATGTTGGCGAATGTATGACCATAAATTCTAGATGAAACAATAAGCGAGAAAATATTTTTTTTAACTATTTTGACGTCACGAGTTGTCAGTTAAATGATGTAAATGGCCGGGAGCTAGCATGCCAGCGATAACTCATCACTTCAAATTCACCGACATTCCGTTATTGAGACGGTCCCTACCTGTGACCTATAGGTCATACGTGGCAAATTAAACTGCAACGAAGTCCCACTTTGTTTTTCTGGAGGCAAAAACGGTTAAAACGGGATAGAGGGAAAACACCTTAGGCTTTATAACAAAGAAGCGAGGATAATATAGAGAATATATTGTATTGACATCGTTGAACTGGATTTGTATTGTTTTTTAACAGTTATTGAACTCACCCCGGGCTAAGTTGCATAGATAAATTCGTACGATTTTTGCCCCTAACCATGTCTTTCAATAATATCGAGGCGACACATAATTGTCAGTCGTCTGATCGACTATTTGTCATTAGGTTCACGTCATGAACGTGGAATTACCTGGCCCACACCTGTGATAAATGGAGTGGCCCCCTTTCGCCTTCCCCATAAAATGTCATTCGGAGGGCCCCTGGGAACATTTCTCCAACCGTTGTTTTGTCCATTTGATTCTCTGTAGTCGACAATACATCCATTAACTTACTTCCACTTGTCTAGGAGGATTTTCTGCACTTTTCTTTAACAAGGGAAATCTCACTGACGTTCTCCACCCCCCCCCCTTTATAGAAAATAACAATAAATTAACTACATTACACGAGCCGAAAGAGAAATTTTTATAAATTATTTATCCGAAAGAAACTTGGTTTTTAAAATCCCACCCCCACTCTCATACAAAAGCACCTTAGGATCCAAACTGTTAAAAAGATTATTTATAGATTTATATCCTATGAGAATTACTCAACCTCTTGCAATTCTTATGGATCGAGTATAAATAAATTTTCTACTTACAGTTGAAATACTTTAAAAACTCATCAATCTTCAAGTGTAAATTCTAATCAAAATATTGAATTCGTTTGTATTCAAAGTAACAATGATACTAAATCGATATTTCTCTACCACCCTGACGAGATAATTTACAAAACTAATTATATTTTTACAAGAAAAATCTTATACTTAATTATAACAAAAGAATAAAGTTATAAGGAATGGTAATTGAAAATAAACTACATATATAGGCTATATATTTTTTATTAATTGATTTCCCAACCGGTAGATCGCGACTCCCAGAAAGATTGTGAATCGCATTGTCGATAAGCTAAAAGTAGGAACGGTTGAGAAATTCTATATTTTAATGATTTCCAACGAATTTTGATCAAAGTTTATAAATAAAAACTTTAGATTTGTTTTTAAAGTTTTAATTATTTAAAATTATTTTACTTTTTATTACATACGAGGGACAAAAATGGATTACCAAAAATATTCTTTCAATTTAATCTAGTCTATAGCCTAATAAAGTCTATAATCTTTTATTATTCTATCCGAAAATAGCTAAAATTTAACACCATTCTTCTTTATTTATAACAAAACTTAACTATGATTTGTGTTTTATTTTAAAAAAATAAATTCTTTCTAAGATTTGAAACATTAACATGATTAATATCAGCACCTATTAAAAATTACACCTCCCTCTGATTAATTAGTCGAGAATAATATATAATTGAATAAAATTTATGTAGTCTGTCCATTTGTCTATCCGTAATCATTGAATTTGTAGCTAAATTTAAGAATAGTGAAGAAAATAAGCGATGAAAAAAAGTGACCGAGTCAAAAAGGGAAATACACAAAAGCAGCTGTCCCAGTTCATTTTCCCATCTTTGACAAATGTGCCGGTTGGACCCAGGAACGGTCCATTTGAGCCTGAGCCCTTTCATCGTCACAGACATCCGACAAGGAAAGGCAAGCGAGAGGGAAGTGTGCCAGCCATGGCTCATTACAACTCTGTCTCTACGCCTTGCCCCATTGCCTCGTCTCCAGCTCGACTGAATGTTTAATGACAAGACTTTGTCACTTAGCCTTTCGACAGGACATGTTGTTTTTAAACTGAGGTGCACGTCTTGGTTCACAACTTTGCAACACGTCATTAACGTTATTTATAACAACAGCATCTTGTATTGTTTAGTCTGGCGGAAACGATCAATGGGATTTTTTTTTTATACGCCTCCGAAAAGTATTTGTTTCTGCAAAATTTAACCTTTCAATTATTAATTTAAAGATGTTAAACGATATATTACGATCCAAACTATCATTTTTTATTCATTAAACGAAACAAAAACACGTCGAAACACTATGTTTACATGCCTTTTTTTTTTTAATGTCACTAACTAACTTAGAAAAGCTAAACTCATTAAGCACACTCTAAAATTAATATAAATATACTCAAAACTGCATCAATATAATATCAAAAAAAGCGTAAACGTATTCTTACAATCTGTCTAGTTTCTATCACATAGAAAAAATAAAAAGTGGCACGTGTTTATAAAGGTGTGATGTCACGACAGACGATTGTGCATCACTTCAAGAGCTTGACGAACGGATTGCTCTTAGCTACAATGAGAATGTCACAGAGTTCATTCTTGTGAAAAGTAGGAACAGAATTGTACGGAAACTATTAGCTAGGAAATTTTCTTGTCAAGCAGGTCCTGGGAACTGAATGATAAATGACAGGTCTTAATGCCGGTGAACGCCGACACTGACATTTGATGTAGGTCTAGCTGCTTGTCCTGTACTAACTATAGATCTGCCCTCTTTATGTGTTTGAGAAAACAAAAGAACGTCCTCTTCAGATTTATATAATGAAGAAGATTAGTCTGCATGATGTAAGAAGATTATATAAAAAAAAAAAAAAAAATACACCCACTTTATCTCAAAGTTATTAATATTTATATTAATGAGAAAAATTGCTGTTAAATCGTGTAAAATATGATTTAAATATTTGAAAATCTTATGTTTTTTTTTGGAATGTGGAAAACTGTGCCATTAATGATTGGAAATATTGATGTGTCCGATAATAATAACAAGGTGAAAATAATTGTGTAATAATTCCTTGACAGTTCGGATTACTTGTTCATCAATATAAGATTCTATGCAATCCATCAATCAATTGTTTCTTTTCACCAACAACAACTGGAGTTATATGTCTTATAATCATAACTGAAGGATATGAAATTTGCTTCAAGTCATAGTTTAATGTATTTTTCTTTCTTAAATTGCATATTTAAATATTGAAAACATTCCTGTATATGTTAAAATACACTCCATTGTATCAATCAGTATGCATTCATTGTACTGTAGAACTTTTAAAATAGTTTTTACTGTATTTTAAGAAAACATAGTGTTTACTTACGTGTCGAAGGTCAGAAGAAATGTAAGCAAAAAGATATTTTAAAAAGTCAATAGAATGAAGATGGAAATAAATGGAGGGTAGAAGAGTGGCCATAAACGTGACGTCCCCAAAAAGGCACGGGATAAGTGGCCACTTCATCTGCTCCTAGTTCCGTGTCGTTGACTTGTGTCTTAGCCATCAGGACACTTGTCAACTGACTCTGTCAAACAGGTTCTGTAGAATACATCGAAGACTAGTTCTATAATAACAGTCGACCTTACTTAAGAGTTGAAGAGAATACTGACATCCCTCGGGCAACTGGGAGCGTAACCTTTTTACATCATAATAATGTTATTAGTCTCTGGCATCAGTATTATTGTTCGGGAATATGCCATCAAAGTATTTATATTTCAAATATATAAAATGATATAATGTTACATTACATCTTATTCTTTTTAAATTTATTCCTTTTTATATAATAAGATTTATTAGTTTTCTTTCAACAATCGACATTCCTGTTGTCAGAATGTATTTATTTTCAATTGAAATTGTTAAA